GAGTGAGGACCACCATGCTCGGCCACCCCGATGCTCCCTTTCCACTCCCCTTGTCTCGAGCTTAGGTGTCCTGGCTTCAGAGAGATTTTGGGCTATAAAGAGAGAGAATAGTAACACGTGATGGACAACCCAGGGGGGAAATCCCAGCTAGCTTCTTGCCTCATAAAAGGGGCCGCCATTTCTTTTCTCCAATAAACAAATCTGTCGGGTCAGACGGTGGGACAAGGGTAAAACAGCCCTCTGCAAGGAGGGAGCACACGGGAGGGCCCAGGTTCACAGCCAGAGACCTCCCCAGTGTGCGCATGCCCACAGTCGCAACCGGCTGAAGCTGGAGGCAGAGGGCAGCACCAAGACTCTGGTAGGGGGCAAGTTCTCTGTCTCTCTCATCCAAGGGAGAAATAAAACTCTAAAACAAATGAATATATCTGCCAACCAAGCAAAAAATCTAAAAGAATTCTGAAAATCGTTTCTAAACATTCTGTGCCTCTGATATTTTCTTTTGTGTTTGGTTTTGTTTTGTTTTTGTTTTGTTTTTGTTTGCTATAGGACATGTGCTTGCTGGAGAAAGGCAGAGAGACAGTGAGAGGGGAAGTGAGAAAGAACCCCCAGGGGGATGGCCATGCCACAATCCCTTCTCCTCCACTCTCCTCTCAGGACTTGCGTACACAGGCACTTGCACCTGGTGTGATTTTCCAGGCCGGATCCGGGATGCGAACTGCACAGTTGTCCACGCGGAATTCTTCCACCTTAACCTCTACACCACCTGCTGGCCACCTCTGATGTGTTCTACTGTCCTGAGAGGAGATTCAGTAGCCCTTCCCACAGCCAATCAGTGCACATGAAGAACGGCCAAGTTGGATAAAGTGGGTTTCCAGCATCACTAGAAGTTTTCTTGATTAGGGAACAGCATTTAGCATAATGGCTATGTCACTGGACTCCCACGTAGTCCACCGCAGTTCGCATCCGGGACCCGGTGGCTTAAAACTCACGCCGGGCGCGTGTGCATGCGTGCCCAAGATCCCGAGAGGAGAACGGAGGAGAAGGGATTGCAGCATGGCCATCCCCCCTGGGGGGTGATTTCTCGCTTTCTGTCTCTCTGTCCCTCTCTATCTGTCTGGCGAGCGCACGTGCCCTATTAGCAAAAACCTCTCTTCCCTCCCCCCACAAAAAAAGAAGAAGTTTTCTTGATTTCACTTCAACCCTACCCAACGTCAGTTAGGCGTCTGAGCTGCAGACCTGGGTACGTTTTCACGGTTGGCCTCAAAGAGCAGATTCACATTTTGGTTTGACCTATTGTCAGGTCTAGCCCACGTCCAGTGTCCCCTGGGCCGGTTGAACCAGCAGCAGGATAACTTCCCAAAGCTGGAGCTCCTGCAGCCGGAAGGTGTCAGAGGACCACGTCCACTTTGACCTCAGGTCTCTGTGTTCTCACAGCCAGGGAACCACCCCAAGAGCACACGCACGGATGGCCCCACGTGTCATCCCAGCACTATCCGGTCTCTGGTTCCAGCGGTGGAGGGCAAACCAAAGAGGGGTGGGGGAAAGAGGAGTCCAAAGAAGCACTCGTCCAAGCCAGCTTCCAAAAGTCCGCAGTTAAATAAGAGTTATGAACGAAACCAAACTCCCGGATACTTTGATAAAGTACAAAATTAAAACCAGAATAAAGGTAACCAGGTCTGGACCTCCACGTTTACTGACTGGATTGTTCGGGAAATTGCTTCAAACTGCACTTCCTTGTGGCATTGACAGAGCTTCTTTATATTAAAATGTATAAACAATTGCTTTCTCATCTGAAGGTCACGGCGGAGATTTAAAACTACGTTTGGCAAAAAGTCCTATCTTTGGCCCAAGGGACTAGATTGGTTTTAGTGTGGTAAATTTTATAGCCTAGAGAGCATTCAGGTGGCACCAGCTTTGGAGAACTCCGGTTTCCATCAAGCGGGCTTGAGTGCGAAAGAGCTAGAAGGCCACCCAGGTGTTGGCATAGAATTCGCCTGGACTTCCTGCCCACACAGTCCCCATTCTCAAGATTTAAAAAAATGAAGAAGTCATGTCGAGGCCCAGCAGGAGGCACGGTGGTTAAGGCACTGGGTCCCACGTGGCCGACTCTGTGATTCGAGCCCTGGACATGGCAGCGTGAAAAACAAGCCAGGCACATGTGCGTGCATAACCAAAATGGCTATCATCCCCAGGGGCGATTTCTCACTTTCCTTCTCTTTGTCTCTCGCTCTCTCTTTCCAGCCAGCACACACACTCTAAAAAGAGAGAGAGAAAAGAAAAAGAGGTTGAGTAGGAACATTTCTGGAGTTTTATCACTATTCATCATTAAATTGGTCTAGATCCGCTATGCCAGAAATAGAAACCAGATAAGCAGAGTGCCTGGGGAAAGGTCAAGAACAACTCGAAGCCTGTCCCGCCAAGAGGCAGCCGGTTTCCCTGCGGTTGGGCTCCTCCTCCAGACACCGTCAGGCCCAGAAACCTCTCCAAAGGAAGGCCGGCGGGCGGCACCGCAGTAAGGCAGTACCGTGTAAGGCTGAGTCGCAGGAGAGGGTCTGGGTTCACGTCCAGAGACCTCCCCGAGTGTGATGGGCACACGCGAGCCCCTGACCAGGGTCAGCCTAGGCTGGGAGCAGATTGTGGTGAGAAGACCCTGTACTGTCTGGCTCTCACTCACAGAAACAAAGAAAGAAACTTAAATAAATTTGAAAAAGTCCTGGGGCCGCAGTAGTATTGCGGTTATGGCACCAGACTCCCCCATGGCTGACTGTGGTTCAAGTTCCAGATCACGCCAGGCGTAGGTGCCCTGCACACTCACATCTCAAGAGGAGAATGGAGGGAAGGGACTGCAGCACAGCCATCCTCCCTGGGGGTGAGTTCTCACTTCCTCTGTCTCTGATGAGCACACGCACTCTCTGACAAAAACCTTTAAAAAAGCAATTTTGTTTCCAAAGGACTCTCCAGCCCCACAGGACAGTGAACTAGTACCCAGTTACCTCCAAGATAAGCCCACCCTGGGGACATCAGATGTGAGGTGTCCCCAAAGTACCCGGGCCGTGAAGGGGCAGCACAGGCTGGTGGGCTGGAAGGTTGGTGCCTGCAGACACGGTGTCCACTCTGCTCTGAGAGGACACACGGCCCGCGGGGAAGAGCAGGGACTGGTGTAAGAGCAACCTCGGTTCAGGCCCCAGGTCCTCTGCTCATGCACAGAGGTGCCCGGGCCACCTTTCACATTTCCGTAAGGCTCGGTTTCTTCCTCGACAACATGGAGAAAGCCAACACACCTCACAGGACTACTATGGGGATTCGGGCAAAACGGATGCTGAAACAAGAAGCCTCAGAAAATTACAGCTCTTTGTATTGTCCCTTTCCCTCCAAAGCTTATTGACTTTCTTTCTCTCATGTGAGAGAGAGACACAGAGAGAGGCGTCCTCAGCAAGGTTTCATTACGCTACAACCCCTTCACCCCGCAGCCTTCCAGCCGGCCAGGATCATGTGTGCACACACGTGTGGGTTTCAGGTGGAACTGGGATCTGAACCCCTGGTCTTCCAAGTGGTTCCAACATGGCACAGCCTGTTACATAGAATGACATAGCTACATAGAATGACGTAGTTCCATGCAATGGCGAAGTTACATGGAATGACGACATAGGTAGAAGGACGCAGTTACATAGAATGACTAAACTAGAGTGGAATAAGGTCTCCAGCGAGCATGTGCCTCTGGCAACAACCTAAAAAAAAGAAAAAGGAAAAGCGTGTTGTTGGTAACGTGCTCGGTCCCGGTGCCTTGAGAATGACATAGCTACATAGAATGACGTAGTTACATGCAATGGCGAAGTTACATAGAATGACTAAACTAGAGTGGAATAAAGTCTCCAGCCTCTGAAAAAGGAAAAGCGTGTTGTTGGTAACGCGCTCGGTCCCGGTGCCTTCTCCCCAGGCAGAATGAAGACCATTACAGTTCCCGGTCGGATTAACGTTGATCCTGGTCATCAGATGGGGATGGCACGTCACTTTCCTTAGCGATGGCGATGAGGTGGGAAAGACAGCCTGGCGGACTTGGCCTGGTGTGCGCGCTCGGTCAGGATGCCTCGCTGCAGCATGGCTGCCGTTCGGTCATTTGCAGACCCGGACCACACCCGTACTAGACACCGAGCCTTCAGAGAGCACAGCAGAGGGGCAGCCCCTCGCAATGCCCGAAGACTTCAGGGAGCAATGGCCGTGCAAACGTGTTCTCACCAAAGGCGGAAGTTCTCAGGGCCAGCAGGTGACGTGGTGGTTAAGCTGCTGGGCTCCATGTGACCCACTACAGTTCGAGTGTCGACCCAACTGCTTGAAAATCACTCTTGGCAAGTGTATGCGTGCCCAAAACCCCGAGAGGAGAGTGGAAGAGAAGGGATTGAAGCACGGCTAACCCACTGAGGAATGCCCTTATGGCCAAAACCTAAAATTAATCAAAGGGTTTTTTGGTTTTGGTTTTGGTTTTGTTTTTGCCATAGGGCACAAGCACTCACCAGAGAGAGAGAGAGAGAGAGAGACAGAAAGACAGAAAGTGGGAAGTCATGCCCCCAGGGGGGATGGCCACACCACAGTCCCTTCTCCTCCATTCTCCTCTCTGGATTTTGGGCATGCACACACACACACACCCAGCCTGAGTTTCAAGCCACCAGGCCTGGGACTCGAACTGCAGTCAGCCACGTGGGAGTCCAGCGCCTTAACCACATGCTACCTGCTGGCCCCCAGAAGGGAAAACTTCTTTAACTAAAATTTGAAGAAAGTGCTCTAGGCACTCAGAGGAAACAAGAAAGGCTTCCCAGAGGACGCTATCTTTTCTACTGCCTTTAGTGAACCCATAGGATCCCTGGCAAAGAGGAAGGGTTTTCAAGGCAGAGGAAACAGCGTGTGTGAACGTGTGAGTCAATGAAGAAGCATGACAGGCTTCGAGGAAGCTGAGGCGTTCTGGCCACTGAAGTGGCGGTCACCCGGCGAGGTGAGAAGGGGCAGGAGAGAGCCGGGGTCAGATGGTTCAAGTCTTAAAGAACAAGCCAAGGATGGGCGTGGACATCAGAGGCTTCAGGAATCAGCAGATCTAGGATGGAAGATAGGTGAGTTCAGTTATTTATTATTTTGAGAGATTTCTTGCTATAGGGTACCTGTGTTCACCAGAGAGACAGAAAGTGAGAAATCAGCCCCCAGGCAGATGACCATGCTGCAAACCCTTCTCCTCCATTCTCCTCTCCTCTGCACACACACCAGGCATGAGTTTAAAGTCGCTGGGTCCAGGACTCGCACTGCGATCAATTACATGGGAGTCCAGAGATGCAACCATTAATCATCTACTCGTCCCAAGTCGATTTATGTTTTATGAAGGAGCCAACAGAGGAAGGTAAAGATTGGAGTTTAAAACCATAGGAGCAGGTGGGATCGGCAAGTGGCATGGTTAAAGGCTCTGGACTCCCACACAGCCAACTGCGGTTCAAGTTCTGGACCTGGTGTGTTGCTTTCTCACTCTCTCTCTCTCTCTGTCCTATCAAACTGAAAAATAAATCATAATAATAGTAAATAAACTTAAACAAACAAACAAAAAAATAGGAGCAGGGGCCTCAGGAGTGGAACGGGAAAAAGCCACTAGCTACAGATGCTCCTCAACCTATGATGTGGAAAATCCCATCAAAAATGGAAAATATCGTAAGTTAAAAATGCACTTGCTACACTTAGCCTGCCGAACAGCACAGCTGAGCCCGGTCTCTCTTCATCATGCTCAGGACAATTCCACTAGCCTGCAGTTTGGCAGACTCACCTAACACGAAGCCTGGTGTCCAATAAAAGTGTCGATCATCTCGTGGAGTTTATTCACTATTGTGCTGGAAAGGAAAATCAGAAAGGTTGTGTGGGTAGTTAAGTATAGTTTCTACTGAGTGTGTATCTCTCTCTTATATATTTTTTAAAATGATTCATTCAATCATTATTATTATTATTATTATTATTATTATTATTATTATTCAATTTGACTAGAGAGAGACAGAGAGAGAAAGCAAGCCGCCAGGCCCTGGACCAAACCACAGCGGGCCATGTCGCGGTCCAGGGCCTTAACCAGCACACCCTGCGACCCCTGCTCTCTCTTTCGCACCATCATCAAAGTCTGAAAATTGCAAGTCGAAGCGTCATAAACTGGGATGCAGCTGTGTTGGGTGGGGAGTAATCGCCCAACTTCTCACTGCTCCCTGGCCTTCCACGGAATGGCAGTGCTCAGAGCCAGATTAAGAACTGGAGATGGAGCATGAGGACTCCAGGTTAGGTCCCCAACCTGCCGTTCAGTCCACCACTTTAATTTCACTTTGGCTCCAGCCCTGGAATGTGCTTGGCGAACAATGCTTGCAAGATGAGCTTCAGAAGAGAAGCGCTATCCCAGATAAAGAACGGGATGGCTAGCTGTCCTGCTTTATCCAAGACCGTCCTAATTTTAGCCCTGAAAGTCCACCATCCAAGAAAAACCCAGGCAGACCAGGATGGTAGGTCACCCTAAAGAGCTGTTATAAAATACTGCAAAAAGACTGTGACTCAGCTTTTGGAAAATTTCACAGCAGCTAGATGTGATTTTTAATTGGGAAAGACGAGATGATGGTAATTTTAGGGTGCCAGACACAAGGACTGAAGATCGTATGTATTGTATATTTCCTCAAGCCCGATGTGTTGACGTGTGAAAGACAGGAGACAGGAACTGATAAGACTAGTCATAACACTGACATATCGGGCACTTACTGCATGCCCGGCACTGTGCTGGGCACTTTACATAAATTCAGTCAGTTCCTCCTCACAGCAGCCTTCTTATACTCATCATCTCCATTTCACAGGTGAAAACTAGGGGCAAGGAGGGCATGTCCATGGGAACCGGCCATGGTGGAAACTGGAGGCGAGCCCGGGTACACCTCACCCTTTCAACTCCGTCCTACGCTCCTGGATAACGACTCCTACTGTGTGCTAATCACTGTCCGACGTGTACTTTCCACGACTAGTCACAATAGCTGATCTAGGCCGACAACGGTCTTTCCCTCATTTTTTAAAGCAATGATTTAATTTATTGTTATTGTTTTTTAAATTTGCTCTAGGGCATGTGTGCTTTCTGTATATAGACAGGGAGAGAAAGAGGAAACGTGAGAAAGCGAGCCACCAGGTCCAGGACTCAAACCGCAGTGGGCCATGTGGGAGTCCAGCACCTTCACCACCACACCAGCTGCTGACCCCTCATTTAATTTTTTTACTTGTTGAATTAATATTTATTCAAGAATTGTAAAATTGCATTTTTTTTTTTGGTCTTATAAATGGTGAAGAAAGAGCATTTGAACCAAGCAGTAGCAGTGAAAATGGAAAGGAGCGATAGCATTCGAGAAAAATTTCTGAAGCGAAAATGTCAGAACACGCTGATTGATCAAGTGTGGGTGACAGGGAAGAAGAAATAGTCCAGGATGCCTCTGACACGTTTTGCCTGAGGGACAGGGCGGGCGGGAATCTGTTAGTCAAAGCCAGGAAGACTACAAGAAGGGCCGCGTGAAGAGGTGCCGAATGTGTGTCTCCTCCAGAGTCCTACGCTGACGTCCTCGGCCCGATGTGATGGTATTGGGGGGGGGGGCCTCTGGCAGGTGCCTAGACCGTGAGGGTGGTGCTTTCGTGAATGGGATTAGTGCCCTCGGGAAAGGTTCCCGGGTGAGCTTCCTCGCCCCTTCTGCCCTATGAGGACGTGGCAAGAAGACACCTGTGATGAGCCAGGAAGCAGGGCCTCCTCAGACCCCAGATGTGCAGCCCCCTGGTCTCAGACGTTCTGGTCTCCAGAATGGTAGATGAATTTCCGTTGCTTATAAACCACCCGGTCTGTGGCCATTTGTCCTAGCAGCCCAAAGGGCTAAAACAAGAGGGGAGTGAATCCGTTCATACTGGGGGGGTCCTCGGCCTCCACCGCTGAGAAAGTACTGGTACACAAAGCCAGAAAGTCCGGGTTCTGAGCTTAGTAACAGTGGTGGGGAGCCGGCAGCCTAGACATGGCAGTTCAGGCCCACAGTATAGATAAGGTCACTCCGAGAAGGAAGACAAACAGCAGGGCCCTAAGGAGTATCAGCGTCCCAGGGACCAGCAGAGAAGGGGATCCTGCCAAGAGGACTTGAAGAGAGGGGGAAGACCAGGAAGCAGCGGTTGCCTGGAAACAAGGGCCCGGTGCTTGGTGGCACAGGGCCAGCGCCGCAGAGAGGACAGGAAGGGGCCTGAGCACAGGCCGAGGACGGGCTCCAGTCGGGAATGGAGGGCTCCGGGTCAGAAGGTGACCGGACAGCGGCAAGTCTTACTCCTGACCTAGTGTCCTCTCACCTCCTGCCAGGACCTAAGTCCCCTCCAAAGCGCAGGGTAGGACCAGGTCTGCCCTGGGGAGTCAGGAACTCCAGTGGCTGAGCTGGAAGTGAAAGAGGCAGGGCGGGAGGCCAGGTCCAGAGACCACTGTTGTTTCCATACTCCTTTCCAGGAGCTCCGGAAAGAGCCACAGACACAAAACACAAAGCAGAAGCGGGCAACTTTAAAATCAAACGACAAGCCAAAGAAATAAAACCCTTCCTTCCACAGCAAAAGGAAAGGAAACGGTTCTGCCCTGATGAGATTTCTGTGCAGGTCTCTGGCCACCTGACCTCTGACCCCAGCCTGGAGAATGACGGAGTCTTAATGACATCAGCAAAATAGGAGTGAAGAGGGGGAGAAGCCCTCCAAGGGCCTTGTTTCATTTCCAAGACCAAATAGCTCCCAACTGACCTTGCAACTAAGGGAGAGATTTTCCCTTCTCGATGATAGAGAGAACACAGCCATGGCAGCGTCTGAAGGGGAAATCACATCGCGGGAAGTGGCTCTGCATTTAAGACGCCCTGGGGAGAAGGCGGGGGATCTTACGGAAGACGCGTGAGCGCAGATCTGAGCCTCGCAACTCCAGGCAACTCAGCTCGGGAAGAAAGCATGCCACCGAAAGGCAGCTTCGACCTTCCTGTGCGAGCTGCCATTATTTCCCTCCCCGCCCCCTAAGTGGTACTGCCCGGTCATCTCTGAGGCTCTGAGATCAGGCTCTGCCCCGTCTGTGTGGTCACCCAGGCGTTACGGGTCTCCCCGCCAGCCCAACACACTTCATTTTTCATGTAGCAGAAGGATCAAGCAGAGCATGCCCGTGGGGAGAGGCCCGCCCAGGCCTCCCCCAGAATGTAGCTTTCAGTCTGATAAGCCTCCACCATAAATTAGGCCCCAACTGGTGCCTCGGACCTGTTGCCATCAGCTTGCTTTTCTCTTGGCCAGATACCAACGCTGTCCCCTGAGATAAATCTATTATTGTCAGAGTCCCGGAGAATTCCAAGGGGCAGGCAAAGGGTGAGAGAAGCCCCCTCCTCCCCGAGGCACCTCCTCCAGCTGTGATCCCGGCAGGGTCTGGGAAGGGTCTCCTGGACTGATGGTTTTCCAGTCCTGCACTGCACTCCGCCTCCCCCCCCCCACTCCTCCCAGCTGTTGTCAAAGCAACGGGCTCACTCCCTGGGAGGTCACTGTGGAGGACAGAGGTGGGAGGGAAGTGTACAAAGCACTGGGAGCCCAAGGACTGCTTTCTGGAAGGCCGGGCTGCAAGCACATGGCACGCACTTCCCCTCCTGCTGCTGGGCCAGCGACTGAAATTCAGAATTCATTGTCCTCGGTCTCAAAAAGTTCTCAGACCTGGAACACAAGGACAGATCAAGAGGACAGGGCTCTTGGGTTGGTCCCCAAGACACCAGTTTGCGCACTGTGGCCTGCCTGTCCACGTTAGTCCAAAGATACTGGAAAACCTTGACCCAGCCTGCTCTGGCGGAGCCGTGCCCAGGCAGTGACCCCACGATGAATGGAAGAAACGGCTGCTGGAACCCAGACGCTACCAAAGTCTAGATGGAAGCTCGGCTCCCGGCTTAATCCCTGCCCTTCCCAAATCCAACCATCTTCCCCAAATAAATCACTCTTTCTGGTCATGTCAGCAAGTACTGTGCATGCGTCATGGATCAGCCGTACAGATGAGCCAGCTCGGCCATCGGGCTGCCAAAAGAAACCCCCGATTTGATCTGCTGTTTCTCGTCTTATTGACAACAGCTAATTGGGTCAAGATGCATTTTGTCTTGGGAAAGTTTCAAACCTCGGCGGAAGGGAGGCATCACCTTTCTCGACTGGAAACCGGGTTCTGAGGCTTTGGGAACAAATCTGCTAATAGCAACTCTGAGGGAAATCATTCATTTAAACGTTGCAACAGAAATCCCCAAACTTTAGAGAGGAGTTATGACATCGAATAGCCCCGTGCTCCCGTCCCGCATCTGCCCACATGAACACATTTAGGAAACCCAAGGATGCCAGAACTGATTGCAAAATACCGAAAGCGGATTGCAGCTTTTTATGTTGAGACGCCTCTGTGACTTCCACTCTACCCTAGCATTTCCTTAGACGGATTCTCTCAAAAACCTCAGCAAGTAATCAGGTAGGTCGGGTCTCCTATGCTAAGGAGGGTTAACGCTTTCATCATTCGGATCTCTCTAGGGCAACGCACAGCGGATTCCAAAGAGTTTGTGGAAAATGGAATTAAAGTATGAGTTTATTTTGGTGCAAGAATAACTTTGAAAACCATGTAGAGTTTTGTTTTGTTTTTGTTTTTGCCATAGGGTGTCTGCGCTCACAGGAGAGAGGGGAAGTGAGAAATTACCCCCCTGCGTGGTGGCATGCTGCAATCCCTTCTCCATTCTCTCAGGATGTCGGCACGTGTGCACATGCACCTGTCGTGTTTTTTTCAAGCCGCCAGGTCCAGGACTCGAACCATGCAGTCAGCTACATGGGATACAGTCACCTCAATCTTCATGCCACCTGCTGTCCCCCATGGATTACTTTTTTCTTTTAATTTTGTTTTTCTTTAGTTTGCTATAAGGCATATGTGCTCTCCAGAGAGAGACAGAGAGGGCAAGAGAGAGACAAAGTGAGAAATCGCCCCCAAGGAGGGATGGTCACACTATGACCCCTTCTCCACTCTCCTCTCAGGATCTTGGGCACGCGAGCATGCGTGTCTGGTGTGTTTCTCCAGTTGCCAGGTCCAGGACTCGAACTGCTCAGCCGGCCATGTAGGACCCAGCCCCCTTAACCACCACACCACCCACTGTCCCCTCATGTATACTATTCTCCTAACACATTTTCAAGAACTTTTTGAAGATTCCCTGTCTGCTGTGTGCAGACGGGACTTTGCACATTGCCTCGGCTCTCCCAGCAACCCGCCCCAGCAGTGGCCGCCTGCAGCTGCTCAGATGAGACTGCGGGAGGGAGATTCTGGGGCTCCATGGGAGAGGAAAGCGCAGGGAGAAAACATCCATTCTCTCGTGACATGTCTCCCAGCGTGGCACGGTGATACTGCACTGCTCTGCCATGTTGGAGGCCACCCGGAAGATCAGGTTTCAGGTCTCAGGTCAACATGAACCCACCGGGGCCACGTGTGCACCCATCAGTCCAGCTGGCTGGGAAACACTATGCAGAGAGTCGCAGCATGATACCCCACCGAAGGCGCATCTCTGTCTCTCTTATTAAAAAAAGAGAGAGAGCGCGATAGAGGAAGGAAGGGAGGGAGGAAGGGTGGAAGGAAGAGGCTGGCAGGTGGCATGGTGGTTAAGGTGTTGGACTCCTACATAGCAGACAGCAGTTCAAATCCCCAGACCTGGCTACTTGTTCTCTCACTTTCCCCCTCTCTCCATCTCTCTCTGGTCAAATTTTAAAAATCATCATAATAAATTAATGAAATAAACAATTCTTTTAAAAAAATTATTTTCAAAGGCTAACACTTGTTGAACTTCTAGAATGTGCTAGGTACTATTCTGAGCGTGCTCATGAGTTTAATCTTTGGAACAACTTTTGTGAATGTGGTGCTATGATTATCTTCATTTGACAGGTAAAACTAAAAGCCCAGAGAGGCCAAGCAATTCGTACATGTACACACACACACACACACACACACACACACACACCTGGTGTGTTTTTCGAGGAGCAGGGGCAGGGATTCAAACCACACTCAGCCATGTGGATTCCAGCTTCCTGACTGCACCTTGGGGCTGGCCCAATAACACATCGTTTCTAAGGAGCGTGATTACACCAGCATCCGTCTCATCTGCTGGCTGACCCTTTGTAGATGTTCGTAAAGTTATCCTACCTCCAAGGTTAATTAATACATCCATCCATCCACGTCAGAAACATGTGTGATGTTGGCGTCTACACGAGTGGGTGAGAAAAATCGGACCTCAGATAAAACATAAACTGTGCAGTCCTGAAAGATAAGGCCGGGGCAGGCTTCGCACCCAGAGATGCAAGGCCGAGGACGAAGGCGAAGACGCACAACACACTGAGACTGGCGTTCTCTCAGAAGCCCTTTGACACGCTGGGGTCCTCTAAGAGATTTCTGTCATTAAAAGACACGCTGGGCGCCAGCAGGTGGCATGGCGTTAAGGCGCTGGACTCCCACATGGCCCGTCGGGGCACAAGTCCCAGACCCGGCAGCTGGCTTTCTCCCTTTTCCTCTCTCCCTTTGTCTCTCTCTCTACAGCCAATTTTAAAATAATGATGATAAAGATGAAATAAATCCTTTTTGAAAGTCACAGTGTATGACTTGGTCTGCACTGTTCTCCACGAGCTCTCCAAGTTAAATCCAAATACGTTCCATGGTGTTTATTCACCTCAGCTCTATAAGCACGTTTTAGGCTGTGCTCATGCACAAGACAGAGCCCTTCGGGGGCCTACACGGCAAAGCCTTGCCCATAATAGGTTTGCAGTTTATTTCTTCACTATTCTTTAAACGGTGTGTGGGGGGTGAAGTCCAGCAGGTAATATGGTTAAGGTGCTGGGCTCCCACCTGGTTGACTGTAGTTCAAGTCCCAGACCCGGCAGCTTGAAAATCACACCAGGCACACATGCATGCATGCATGCCCAAAGTCCCAGAAGAATGGAGGAGAAGGGACTGCAGTGTAGCCATCCCCCCAGGGCATGATATCTCATTCCCCCCTCAATTTCTCTCCTTGTTTCTCTCTGGTGAACTTTGGTGAGGGTACACTCTCTATGGCTAAGAACATAGGGTGTGTGAACTGGTGTCTGTGTGTTTGAGAGCATTTCCGTGGTGAGTATACACACGTACCATATATATTTAGTGTTCTATACACAGAGGAGGGATTGGGGCATGATCATCCCCCCCAGAGAGTGTGTTCTCACTTTCTCTCTCCTCTCTCACGCTCTCTCCTTCTCTCTCCAGCAAGTTCATGCCCTATACTAAATTTACAAAAAAAAAAAAAAAAAAGGGACCAGCAGTTAGCGTAATGGCTATGTCGCTGGACTCCCACGTAGTCGACCGCGGTTCGCGTCCCGGACCCGGTGGCTTAAACTCACGCCGGGCGCGTGGGCGTGCATGCCCAAGATCCCGAGACGAGAATGGAGGAGAAGGGATTGTGGCGTGACCATCCCCCCTGGGGGGTGATTTCTCGTTTTCTGTCTCTATGTCTCTCTCTGTCTGGTGAGCGCACGCGCCCTATAGCAAAAAATCTCTTAAAAAAAAAAAAAAGTGCTCTATACACCTGCCCGTTCTTCCAGGCCCCTACAGTTCTGCTACTTCGGCCACTGCCTTTCCCCCCGACTTGCTACCTTCACTTCCATTTTTCACTTACTGCTTGGAAACTATTATTAGATCATTATGCCAAAAGTCATCACACACTCTCTTTTTAAAAACTCAGTTAAGAGATCATTCTTGAAAGAGCTGTCATTAAGCACACGCATCAGATAATTCCTGAGTTAGTCTTGCTCCGCGAACCCTC